TCCTAATGAAAAGGAATTCAAATACTAACCATGAAGTCTGAGAATAGTCACAACCAGACTCGTTCTCGCACAAAGAAAACACAGGGAGCATCTTTGCGCAAAAGAAATGTTGTCTTGTGCTGTTAAATTGACATATGGGAAGGAATTTATTATAGTAAATTCATGGAGAGAGTTAATGTGACCGTTTCCTAAATGCCTGCTTAAAGCGAATTCTTCCACGCTCTTTCCGTCATGGGTGGGTGGGAGGCAATCTAAGAGTTATTTTTGTTGTTGAACTCATGCAGCTCAAATGAAAGCTTCTTACTGTCTTTATTAAATGAATTATTGAATCTCCCACTGTTAAAGGTTTCAAGTAAGCATGTACAATTTTTATTAATTATTATTATTATTACTTTAAATCTCTAGTGTCTGTAATAACCTCTCAGAAGATGACATTGTTTTCTCTACCAATCTGCTCCTTTTTCATTTGGGTAATGCAGATTCTTTTAGTGGATTTATTTATTTTGCTATGATTTGAATGGATTTGAAGTCCTATTTATTTAACAGCTTCAGCCTATATAGCACCTCATTGTGCCAAAACATATCAGATACTGGTGCAGAAACAGCAACCGTGTCAGCACAGTTCTGGGAATAGCTTTACTGACTGTATTTGCTACTACTACTACTGCAGAGTTGGCAGAGAAAGCACAATTCATTGTCTTGAGACCCAGAGATAGTGGCTGTTCCTGGGAAATCTGTTGGTGATAGTGTGGTGGATTTTTAAAAAAGCCAGTAGACTGAGCCTGATTTCCAAAGTTGCACATGCAGAACTGCAGTATTTGTATAAACAAATTGGGTATTTTAGTCACACAAGAGGCAAGCTAGATTTTTGCATGTGCTAGCTGTTTGCATGTGCAAATCCCCTACAATGAGGCCAGATAGATGCACAGTTATGAGTTGTGCAGGCAATTACGACAACTAAGCATGCAAGTTAGTACATTTTTTGTGCACCTATATATTCACATGTGCAGTTTTGAAAAATCAGGACTTTCGCATCTAGAAGACTTTCTCCATCAAGGGCCCAGTTCCGTATCTTCTGCACACTCACAATTCCTAGTAAAATCAATACATTTTGGGTGTGCAAGAGAAGATTTAGCATCAAACTATTACCAATTATAAATAAGATCAAAGTGCCAGGCCTCAAATATTTGACAGTGCCCCTTCAATAACAGATGTGTAGCTCTTTAGTAGGGCATTGTATGGGGTTTCCATGAGTAAAGACAGACCTCTCACTTGATTCCCGATGAGATAGACTACCAGCTATTCAGACACACTATGGTTAAGAACTACACAAAGCACTGGAACATGAGAAACTGAACAAACTGCAAAGCACAGGGAACATTTCCACATTTGAACACAAATAAGATGTCAGATGCAATAGAACTCAATTGTGACAGCTAGGTAGTTAGGGCCTGACTCACAAACAGTTATACAAGTAGCCCCACTGGCTTCAACTGGGCAGTCATCTAAATACTACTCCTGTGAGTAAGGTTTTGCAAGGTCAGCTGCAGAGAGCCCAATCCCGCATAGTGTTGAGCACCACTGGGAGAAACTGAGTGCCCTGCACTCCAGTGGGAATTCAGAGCACACTGCAACATGCAGGAACAGATGCTCAGTTCTCTTACAGTGCAAACAAAAAATGACAACAAATAAAATGCAGTCTTACTTCCACAGTCGATGTTTTAACGCTACACTGGAAATCCATCACTTTAAAGGATGTAACAGAAAGAGTCTAAAAGATTCTCCCTGACAAGTACAGTAAGCACCCACATCCTTTCTGGAGGACCTGCTGAACTGGCTCAATCCATGAACATGAACTAAAATTGGATTCATGTATTTTTTGTTGCAATTATTCTAATTATTTGGCTTCAAGTCATGTTAAGTTTCATGTTCTTCTCTCTCTGTTGTGCTACAGTGATGCCTCATTCTCATTTCCAATGAAAACAAGGATTGCTAGAGCTGAATTGCTGTCATTCTGGTTTGTGCAGCTGCAGTGAATAGAAAACATCACAAAGCAATTGGAAATTATTAGTTCTATTGGTTATATATTTCTCTTTTCTATGGAGTTATCATGATTCACCATTTCAGTGTCCTGCACTACAATACAGTATAGTTAAATGAAAGACGTTTTCCATGGAAAACGTCCCGAAACTGTTCAGGGCCCAATCCTGCTTTCCTTGCACTCCCACTGGGAGTTTAGCATGTGGAATGAATGCAGGATTAGACCCCAAAACAAGAAAACTCTTTAGATATAAACAAAGAATGAACAAACCATCAAAGAGATTGGCATTTTATAATTTCCTTCTTTAAAACTGTGTTTATTGAGCACACATCACGTGGAAAAGAAGGCCAGAGCTTCAATCAGACCATGGATGTTAGTTTTTAATCGGGGCAAGCTAGCAGCCAACAATAGAAGAGTGGAAATAGAAGGCAAAGAGTGAATATAGACAGGAGGATGTCACCTAAATTGCTCCTGTGACATCCTTGTCGTGCCAGAAGGAGGAAGATTATTGCTGGAGGATAATTAGTACCCACAGATCTAAAACTAAAACATCTTTGCCAACTCTCACAATTTAGTCACAAGTTGCACAATATTTGGTGTTTTCCTTAAAGCCCCAGCTCCTGGAGTGAAGTAACTACTTGAAAATTTCAGCTTTTTTTTTTTTAAAGTACATTTCTAGCCCTTATGGTTGCACAGAATAATTTGAAACATGACCCAATTGTACACAAATAGCTCAGAAACTAGAAGACACATACAAAGAACCCAAAGTGTAATATTAAAATCATCTCTGAGCCAAACTCACGATTTTTTTTTTAGGCCTGACTCGTAATTTTTGAACACCTGGTATTGGCAATTGTGCATAAGTTCAGATCCAAATCCAAACTTCACCCGAAGCTTTGGGATGTTCAGATGCAGGTCTGACTCAGATGGATAGAAACGATAATTACAGTTTCTATCCAATAAAATGCTACAGTCCTGACCCTGCAATCTAATCTGCGTGGGCCCTATGTGGGGCTCTGCACAGACACAAAAGTACCCACCACATAAATGTAAGCACAGCATTAGGGCCTAGCAATGCAAAAAAAATAACCCTCAGTGGGATCTGAGTTACTACAGATAATTCTTTCCTGGGTATCTGGCTGGTGAATCTTGCCCACATGCTCAGGGTTCAGCTGATTCCCATATTTGGGGTTGGGAAGGAATTTTCTTCCAGAGCAGATTGGAAGAGGCCCTGGGGGTTTTTCGCCTTCCTCTTAGCATGGGGCACGGGTCACTTACTGGAGGATTCTCTGCACCTTGAAGTCTTTAAACCATGATTTGAGGACTTCAATAGCTCAGACATAAGTGAGAGGTTTATTGCAGGAGTGGGTGGGTGAGATTCTGTGGCCTGCATTGTGCAGGAGGTCAGACTAGATGATCGTAATGGTCCCTTCTGACCTTAATATATATGGGTCTACAAAATACAAGCTCCAATGCATAAAAATCCACAGTTTTTGCCAAGTTGATTTCAATTGCAATTTGCTTCAAAATAAAGTTGCAAGGAAATTCAGACAAAAGTATTTGGGGCTGCTTTAAAAAATGTCTCCAATGATTTATTAAGCTTAGTTTATAACGAAATGGCTCATAGCCTAAAAAAAGAGACTGTTTCTTATGAGAACAGGACAAATAACCTTTTGATGTTTTAATTTTAATTTCAAATCCTGCTGCTGTAATGTTCAGTGTTTATGGAAGAAAAATCAGTAAAATATAAAATTATTTTCTCACAAATTATTTTTGGGTCATTTAAGAGAAAATTACATTAAATTATGTCTAATATGTGCTGAACATTCCAGTATCACTAGATATATAAAATAATAAACACTGTCATTTATTTTCATACACAAATAACAAATGTGTCATATCTAAAAAAAACAAACAAAACAAACCCCTGTGTATATTGTATGGAGGCCCTAATATTTCAGGTGCTGCAGCTGGCAGTGCTGAAGTTCCCTGAATACACTAAGCTACCAAGTAGGGTCTTAGAAAACAGCAGAATTCTTCAGTATACATTGTACTGGGGGGGGGGGGGCGAATTTGCTTTCAGGCAAATCTAAATAAAAGGACTCTGCAGTCAGCACTTGATAGAACTGGCTGGATGTGACCCAGGTTAGCTCAGGGCACCTAGTAGTCCATCTTCCTGCTTTGTGGCTGAGAAGGACTCTAACAGACAGTATCTCAAAGCCTAGCGGGTTGTCAGCCAGCATTTTGCAGAAATAAATACTCCACAACTAGAAAGAGTTAAATCAGAAATGCTGCCAATTCTTGTGCCCTTACGAGTTTAACCAAGGCGAATGTAAGTCAATGGGAGCCATTCCCTCTTCATTTCCGCTCTCACTCCCTTTACCTTGTCCAAACCCTTGGGAAACAGGGAGCTGCAAGCGCCCTTATCTAAAAGCCCCTCTCAGCCAAATCTCAGTGATGTTTCTGTCCCGAAAACTTACTTCATGCCTCTTTACGCAAACAAACTCTTGTTTACCCAAAGGTTTCTAACTACACCTGAGATCTTTTAGATCGCCGGGACTCTGCTGTGTAAACCCCCAGACGCTGTATTTCCATGGGGGCCTGTCTTATAGCAAAACGAATACGGACTAAATGACTAAAACCAAAGCAAGTTAAAGCCGCAGCGCAGACCTGGTTTGCGGGGGGGTTGGGGGAGAGAGAAAGACCGACTTTGAAAAGCCTTGGCTAGACACAAGGGGGTGAAATATCCCACCTTTCCCTGGCCGCCCGGAGCGCTGGGCGCGGCGGGAATCCCTGGGACAGGCATTTCCCCAAAGAAACTCGATTCACACCCAACGGGCCAGCTAGGAGCCGGCCCGCAGGGGACACTCAGCGGCCAGCCGGGCGGTGCGGTCCCCGTCTCCTCCCCGCCCTGCGGCTCGGCTCGCCCCCCGCCGCTCTCCGCGGGCCCGCGCCGTACCTGCCGGAGGATGAAACTGGTGGACGTTGTGCTGCCGTCGGATCGTTTCAAGCGGCTCCGCCGGGTCGCCGTCCCGCGGGACACCTGCACTCGCCGCGGGAGGGGGGGAAGAAAGACAGATCGGGTCACAAGGGCGCGGGGAGCCCGCGGGGACCCCGCTTCGCCGGGGCAGCGGCCGGTCCAGCCTGGCCAGCGCCGGGAGCGGAGCCGGCCGCGCTGCCCGGACGCACGAAGGGCCGGTGGCTCAGCCCGGAGCTCCGGTAACGGGCCACCCCCTAACCGAAGCCCGCCGGCCCTGCCCGCGCCCGCCCCAGCCCCGCCGGGGATGGAGGGAGCGAGGCTCCAGCCCAGCACCCACCGCAGCCATTGCAGCCCGGCGCCGAGGCGATGCTCCCCGCGCCCAGGCAGCCGCCGGAGCCCGGAGCCGGGAAGGCGGAGAGCGGAGCAAGGGCGGAGGGAGGGGGAGGCACCTGGAAGACGGGGGGGTGCAGCCCGTCCCCCAGCCCGTTCTTGCCGTAGGAGGGGGGCGGGGGCTTGGACATGGCTAGCGCGGCATAGCCTCTGCCCCGGCTCCAGGCGCGCTGAGCGGGCTGCCGGCCAGCGGGGCGAGCGCTGCCTTCGCCTCTCCCTGCCCACTCGGATCAGGGCTGCCTTGCTGCGCCCGCTCCCGGCAGCCTGCCCTGTGCTGCGTGGGCGGCGGGCGCTCCCATCGCCACGCCTTAAAGCGACAGTGTCTCTTCCCTGGCGCCGGCGCCACGCGCGCGCCCGTGGGGGGGGGGGGCGTTATAGAAGAAGCCAGTGAGTTCTTTTTTGGGGGGGGGGGCGAGGACAGGGAAGTTTTCCCTACCCTTCCCCCTCCGAAACAGGGTGTCCGCTCTCCAGCTGTAAATATCCAGCAACTTCCCAGCCCCTTCCCCCCATTTTCCTGTAGTGGCACCATCATTTCCCAGCCCGCGGTTTACCATGACCTCTTTGTGTGGCGCACGCCCACGCTCCCCAAAAACACACACACTGTAAATTAGGTTCAGCCACCTCCCTGCCCTGGGAAATGTATCTTCTAGCAGAACCCCTGTAGACGATCTTTCTGTGCCTAATACTAGCCTTTCTAACCAGATTAGCATGCACTAGTGACCTTGCTCTGCAACTTCCAGCCGTTTATGCATCCAATCCTAGTAACCTTTTCCTCTCTCTCAATGCTCAATAACCCTCCAGCCCAATGGAATGTATGCCCCCTACGGATTTTCCATGGTCTATTATTATATATTTATTACTTATGTTGTAATAAAGGTCATGGCCCCATTATGCTAAACATCCTACAAACATATAACAATAAAGACAGTCCTTGCCCTAAAGAGCTGTCAGTGTATGAATAAGATGAAAGACAATAGGTAAAATCACCAGCCAAAAGGAACAAAAGGTACCAGGTTGTTATAATTTGTTATATGATTACATGTAGCCGTCTTCCCTTAGAGCCACAAACTCAAGCTCTTAATGTGTCTAGAAATCTCATAAGTAAGCCAATGCTACTGCACTCACATATGCATCCCTGTGAAGTGCCACTGAAGTCAATTAGTGGGCAAAGGGTTCACCCTAATGGGTCTCAGTCCAGGGTTGGGGATAAATTACTGCCTGAAGCTATCACTGTCTCTAAGGATTTTTGGCACAGTGGGCAGATTGGAAAAGGCATGTGCACACACACACACACACCCCAGTTTAAAAGAAAAATCAAGATTGAGCACTACTGCTTTAAAAGAAGTCAAAGATTTGATGTGATATGTTATTCACATCTGATGAAGTGAGCTGTAGCTCACGAAAGCTCATGCTCAAATAAATTGGTTAGTCTCTAAGGTGCCACAAGTACTCCTTTTCTTTTTGCGAATACAGACTAACACGGCTGTTCCTCTGAAACCTGTTATTAGACAGGTGGCTTGTACAATAGGGGCTAAATAGTTGTTCTGAATTTGGATCATTTTAATGCACCACAAAAGAGGGGAATAAATGTATATTTATACAGTGCATACACACACATAAATAATGTTATGGCAAAAGATGGTATTGGCTTGCACGTTAGGGGGTCATTGATAGAGCTGGTCAGGAAACCAAATTTCCCTTGCGCAATACATTTTGAATTTTCAGAATTTTTTTCATGCTGAATTAGGATAAAAAGACAACAATTCCGAAATTTTCACAGAACTGAAATCCTGCAATAATTTGTTCTGGAAGCACGGAAATATGTTCTGAAACAAAATATGCTAGGGGCTCACCATTGCTATTAAGTGGTGGGTATTCCTGAAATAGAAGAATCATATAAATTTCAGCCAGGAGCTTTTAAGGCTTTGGGGGTTCCTGGCTCAATAGCAGCTCCCACATGCAGACTGTTTCAGAGATGGTGACCCCAGGGCTTCCAAGCTCCTGGACCTGCTTGTTACCTGGCCTATCTGACTCTCAAAGCCTGGGGAGCCAGCTGCCCAGAGAGTTGGACAACCCAGGTAGCTGGCTCTGGAGGCTGGAAGCTCTGGGGTCCCTGGTCCTCAGAGAGTCTTTCTGGGGCTGCTGGCTATCCTGGAACCACAGACCCTGGATATCGGGATCCCAACTCCAAAGCAGTTCTTCAGGCAGGATGCCAAAGAGCTGGGTGGGCAAGCTGGCAAGAAACCTGGCTGGCACACAAGTTTTGAAACCTATGTTCCATTGGAAGATTTGTCAAAACTGACACATTTCCACAAAATGTTTTGCTTTCAACAAATTGGTATTTTCCCAATGGAAAAACATCGTCAGAAAATTTCTGACTAGTTCCAGTCACCGATGATAGGCATGCAGGATGAAATTCTTAATAGAAAGAGATGAAGATGTCATGCGGTAACTTCCATCAGAGACTCATTAAGGGACTGGGTATGCACAGTGTGGGCTGTTGGACCTCCCTGAGCTTCCTTTATGTTGCTAAACACAGGAGAGTTAATGGCCAGTCCACCTTTTCCAGACCACGTGGTCAGAGAGAAGCCCTGAACTAGTCTCTGATGGAGACTCTGATAGAGCCTTTTGATCTTACACAGAGATCCTGAAGAAGAGCTCTTCAGGGAGAACCAATCCACTGATATGATTTGCATGCCCTAGCCAGTGAAGTGGCTGCATGCAAACTCTCTCACTCTCTGCTGACCTCTAGCGTCCGTTAAGATTTTATTTAATTTAGGCATTTAGGGTTTTTTGGTTAGCTTTCCTCATTATGTTGCAGAGCAGACTGCTCAAATGCAATTCCTAAGATGTTCATCAGGAGAAAGAGGTGCAGTTGATATGAACCTTCTGTTTTTCCAGACTCTAGAAAGAGCACAGAATTTCTGACACCATAGTGCTCCAGCAAAGTTCAGGCATTAACACTTCAGGCTGATGTAGCCAAAGGTTGGTATGGAGATGATATGTGGTGGCAGATTATGAAAAGATTTTTAAACATGGATGTATCTCCAACATAAAGAACAGAAAAATCGTATTGAAACCATCAAGTAATTCAGTGTCTCATGCATTTTTAATTGTATCAGCCTTCAGAAAAAAATTAAGTTAATGTTTTATCCGCTATATATTTTGTCCAGCTTTTGCACTGCACTTCTTTTAACAGAAGACACATCAACTGGGTGCATTTATATCCAGATTAAAACTATTAAACCAAATGCAGATATGCATCTCAAATGTACCTAATTTTGAGGGATATTTATTTACATAATACTCTGCTCTCAAACTTGATGTCACTTGTTGAAAATTTACAACAGAAATAAACAGATTTTATTTACAGTAGTGAATCATACAGCATTATATTTTCTACATGAACGATACCTTCTTACATACTGGATCTTCATTGCACTGTGTCACATTCACAGCTTGGTAGGTTGAGGTATGAATGCAGATGCCCAAGGTAGGAACACATCTGGGAACATAATTTAGCCCACTGACTCTAAAATTGTTTATCTGGAAAGAAAATCTGTCCATGTAAAAATCAATGGTTGTTCGACCTTCTACAGAATCCTCCACCACAGAACATTACTTCACAGGCATGAGGTAAATTAGAGTACTATTAATTTCAATTTACAGAGCATGAAAATAAGGCACAGAGATTAAGTGATTTGTTCAAAATTGCACAGGAAATCTGAGGAAGAGTTGAAAACAGGACGCAGGCTTCCTGCTCCCCATTCCTGTGGCTTTACCTGAAGCACATCACACCTCTGACTGAAGTGAGGAGGGGAGGTGGGTACCTACAAGATGAGTTTGCCACTAGACAAAAAAAAAACCAAAAAAAAACAAAAAAAAAAAACCACAGCAACCCATAACTGACACCTCCTCCCCGCCCTCTTGCGGAGTACGATTGGGTTTTTCCAGCAAAACCAGTATTGAATCTGTATTCTGACCAGGACTGTGGGGGAGAAGAGAAGGAAAGCAAAGTTCACAGAAGATATGACAGGTACATTTCTCAGAGAACATTAGTAACAGTTTTACTCACATTTACAAATATATTCCTGCCACCTTTCGCCCCCTATGGGCAATTTAAAATTTCAGTTTTCTGTAGGAAAACACTATTTTTAACATCTGACACTTGTGGAAAATGGCAAAGGATAGAAGCCAAGGAACATTTAGCAACAGGTAACAGTTTTAAGATATGCCATCTTTTGAACCTAGAGAGTAGGCTTTTATTCAGTAGAGATTACTCCTACATTTAATATGATTATAGAATGGATTATCTACACTAGTTTTGTTAATTCAGTTTATATTTTGAATAATATCTAGCAGCACATTCAATAACAGAGGAAATATGCCCTTTTTCATTTTTCCCCAATGTATGCCAGGCAAAGGAAGACCCTACAGACATCTGGTAGAAAGCAAGCAGAGACCTAGTATAATCAGATTGATTAATGTCTTTTATGCACACAAATTGCAGATTTTAGAATTCCTTACATGAAATTAGTTAGCCTGGCTTCTTTGTCCAAGATGAATGTGGTGCAAGAAGTGACTAGCATGAATGGTGAAATCTAAATTAGATTTTTAAAACTCAGTTGAATCATCTAAATTCATAATAGTAAGGAAATGTTTCTTTAATTATGAATCTTAACCTATCTCATGGCTTGGCTGTCTTCCCACATTAATATACTGTCCAGGAAATCAAGACACTAGGGAATTGTCCAGATTCACGGTAGTTTATCAGTTTCACATTCTCTCACCTTAGCAGTGTGAGAATGTCTGGATTGAAAAACCATTGACTGACATTTTACAAAGATCCTTTAAACACTTCTTGTGCTGTTAGGTTAAGTGCTTTTTGTTCCAAGGCTTATATCTAGGGCCTAAACTGACCTGACACTATCCCAGGAAAGTTACAAGTGACTCAAGATGATAATATAAGTAAGTGATTGACAATATATGTTCCAGTGACTTACAGCTAAAGAATGACTCATAGGAACATTCTGTTTTCAGGCATATCAGGCTGGTGAATTACATAGTTCTTTTGTTCCCTGCCTTAGATATGCTACAGGGGTTATTTCCTCATTGTGTGGGCTGGCAACCTCATTTTGGTTAGATGGATATCAATGGTGGTCTAAAGAGAGTTTCTATTACTTATAGAGTACTACTCTTTGCTTTTACTTTTAAGATGTAATAACTGAAATTTTAGCAAAAAGTGTTATTTTTCTTATGTATAAAACCTAACACAGTGATTCTCAAACTTTTGTATTAGTGACCC